ACTCCCATATAAAAAGGACCGGGGTGCTACCCGTGCCTTTTAGGGAATAAAAACGCGGTTAGGGGTTCAGCCTCTAAAGGTCTCAAAATATGACAGGAGATTATGTGTTGTTTTAGAATCGGTACCTCTTAGGGTTGAAAACCATCTCAAGCCACCCCCACAAAACGAGATCTTGGTAACTTTTAGAGGTTCTTTTCAAAATTTCCGACGAGCTTTCCCGTCCGTTTTATGTGAGAGCTACCCCCGGGATTGACCCCTCCAAAACTAACTGAAACATCAAGACGATTCAGGTGTGACTAACACTGCTTCAGTTCTTAAGCACTCCGTTCTCATGGGCCGGCGCGTTGCCGATTGTGTACATGCAGTCGAGGAATCCACACGCCAGCTCAGAGACTATGGATCGGTCTGGAATACTTTGAGACATACCATAGATAGCAGCCTACAGCGTAAGATAACAAAATGAAGTGAGTCATGGACTGAAGTGTGTGCCAATCTGCAGATTAAGTACTGTTGATGAAGTGGAAGTAGAGTCAATGGTGAAATGACAAATTAAAACACTGGACACAAAGATATCTACAATGGAGAAAACAGGACATTGCACAGAGCTATCTACAGTTGAGTTCAGCACAATCTTACTTGTACTGCTTTCTTGGGTAGAACATTGACAGTGTTTTTCGCATTGATCCAGGTTTGCAAATTAATGACGTCTGACAGATTTGTGTATTTATTCTTCTTCTGACTTTTTTCTTTCCAAGTGTGATTATTCACTTATATTTTTTTCTCTTAGGGATTTCTTTAAGGGATGGCCGTCATTTGTTTTTACAATTCGTGGGCTGGGTAAGGGTGACACGCCCTGTAGGGGACGAAATGTTCTTTTGCGTCTCACTGCCTTTAACAAATTGTTTAAATAAAATTAAATAATACATAAGTAAAATTCTTGCGGTAACTTCATAAAATGCCGGTAAGAAATACGTAGAAGACCGGCATCCCCCCCAGGAGCAATAGTACACTGTACACACTTATGTGCTTCATAGCACAGGATGAAATACAAGAAGTAAAACCACTAGGATAAGTTTGTTGTGTGTTGTAATTTATTGTATATTGCAATTTACTATTTATTTATTCTTTTATTTTTTTATTTTTTAAAGTGCAAGAACTGGGAAAGAAAAATTGCGGTAAATTCCTCACCATGCCACTTGTTTTGACTGAAGAATCCTTCAAAATCTCAGCAGTACACTCTCGGACATCCTTTACAAAATGATCAGCCACACCTACCTGAGTGTTCAGGTAAGTGACACAAATGTGGATACTACAAAACAATGTAAGTGTCCCATTAGGAAATTGTAACCACTGACAACGTAAACGCAGCTTTAAAAAACACTTCCCTAGACAATAGGCAATAATTTCAGTGTATCATGGCATACAAAGTCGGGAACTCGTGTCAGGGGTTTTGTTAACGTTTTCAGCAAGAGGACAACTGGTTTTCACAGACCGGCAAAACGTTTTGAACTTAACTTCTTTAAAGGAAGAACTTTCCTTTACATAGTCAAATCGTCCTCACAACCGGTCAATTTGCCCGGTCATTAACGAAATCCTTAGAGTGTAAGAAGTTTACTAGTAATTGACTGTCTGGCTTTTTCAGCCTAGATTGTCGTTTAGGACGATAAGTGATTCGACATACTGACACATTAACTAGGTGTAAAGACGCTAAACAACTTGAGTTCAATTAAGAGCATTAAGTAGCCCCTGTTTGTGGAAAAAGAAATGGATTGGCGACAATGACTTGAGTAAGCCACGCCCCTGGGCTACTATTAAATACCTTTTGTCCTTACTCATAATTTTGAAATTTCTCTCATTCTCTTACAACTGGTCATCCCATAGCACCATGGACGGCACTCACACTTTGTAAATGCATGCAGCTCAGTAACAAAGCTAGCCTTACTTATATCAATCAGAGACAAACCTTGAAGGAAACTGAAGAGAATTGAGATGCCAGTGTCTTTTGGTAAGAGCATCTGCAAGACGGTAGATATCAAAATCCTTGGATCCAAATGCCACTACACTCACTTCAGGCTTCCCAAGTACATAGATGCCCTTGATTTTTCGCAAGCTGCAGAAGAATGACAACAAAATTCAAAACTGTTTCTTACTATTTGTAAATTATTCACCAAGAGAAAAGAAATTGGATAATCATAATCCTAATGGCACTGTTTTCATGACGGGGCTTATTTAAACTAGCACAGAATCAACTGACATTATTCTTGCTTCTTCATGCGGGATATGACAAACAAACGTAACTTTAACCCAAGTACATGTGTAGCTGTACTTAATCAAACATTATCAAAAAAATTCCTCAAAAGTTGGGCGCAGAGGGTTGTTCTTTGGGCAAGCTGAAAGTCATTCTCAATAGCCCCCCCCCCCCCCCCTCCCTTCCCCCTAAAGGAAAAACCTTTCTCGCAAGCATGATATTCATTAAATAATTAAAAATTAAACTAACACAATTATTTAATCTCTGACAGTACTTCTGTAAATTGAATTTCCACAAAATTTTAATAAAACTTCACAACCTCACTTGCCCTAGCTTCAGGTAGGCAAAGGGTGCAACATATTAACCCGACCTCAAATTTCACCACGCCCGGGGCTGTTGGACACTACATTTTTTGCATGCTGCAAGATCAACGAGTCACCAAGATACATGTACACAGAGTATCTTAGTTATGGTCTGACTGGTTATCATTGGGGTACATATCATGTACGCATTAATTTTAAAAACCTCAGTGCCTTAACAGCCAGATATTTTTTAAGACTCTCACCCTGCCTCGATTTTCATTCTGGTCTGTATGATTTTTCTTGTACTTTCAACATAACCTGGAAACAAAGAGAGACAAAAGTACATGTAATAAAAGTCTTCATTTGGCTCCCTATCAGTCAGAAGTATTATCATTTTTATGCTAATATTCAAACACACGAGACAGTATTTTATAAACGATAATCTTGAGCAGAATTCAAAATATGACATGCAGCACAGCATTTTCAACAATGTTCGAGGAATCTGGAAATGTCCACACTGTATAAAATGCTTTAGAATCTATTGTTTGACATATGCATGTGAAGTCTTTATCAAAACTAAACGAGAGATTAAATAGTAAAAATCCATGTTGAGATTACATATCCATTAGCCATGTTCACTATTACAATTTCTTTTGTTAAATGTGATCAATATTATTGATTTTGAGAAAGTTGGAAATCTGGGAAAGAACCATCTGCCAATCCTGGGGCCCATTTCTCGAAAACTCCAGAAGCTCTCTGGGCCCATTTCTAGTTCATCTGTACCTAAAAATGGAGAAGTGTATACACCTGAAACTTCTTGTTTGAAGGGAACCTCTGTTCATATTAAGAATATGTGAATAAAACAGCTCTGTAATTGTAAGGTTCAAGAATTTGCTATGGCTTTCCGGGCCCAAAACGTTTCCGGGGCTTTTGAGAAATTAGCCCCTGGTACTCTGGACAATGGTCTTCACAGAGAGAGAGAGAGGGAAAAAAAAAATTTATCAAAACTTCACACAAAAAATGCTGCCATACCTGATTCCCCAAAGTACATCATTGCCGCCCATGTTGATGCAATGACTGCACCTGGTCGACTGCCAGGTATCGTGGGACAGGCATAGATTCCTCCTTGCCAATCTGGTGCTACAAAGAACTGACAACAACACAAGTTGCTTAAAAGGAGCTCAGTCACGGTGTTTTGTCTTTTTTTGGCCACGCACAAAATTACCTTTAAATGGGAGGAAACCTGAAAATAATAGTTTACTAAGATGGAAAAACATCAAAGAGATAATAATAAACCATACAGGAAAAAGGTTGGTCAAGGATGACGAAGATTGACACGGATTGCAAACGACGAGTTTGAAATATTTAGGCTAAACTTTTCAAAATGTGCAAACCGTGACTGAGTTCCTTTAATTAATTCGCAGAAATTAATTGCTACATAGAATGGCTGTCAACTGAATGTGGTAAAACCTAAACTAAAAAAAACAAAAGATAATTGCCCGTTTACTTTTGACACCCAATTGAAAACCGCCCTATATGTGTTTATTGAAAGATAGATGATGCATAATTCAGCATAATTTCTCGCTCATTGCTAATTTTCCAAACACTCAAACATAGCCAAGTACTACTGTGAAGGTTCTCTGATAAGCCCTCCTCGGGAGGTAGGGCATGGGAGAGGCTGAATAGAACTGCAATTGTTAATAGTAAAAACATGTCTACTTCTCCATACAAACCATATTTTTTTGGTGATAAGGCGCAGTGTTCTTTCTGAAGAAAATATACCTGTGGTTGTTGAATCAAAATCTTTTCTAACCTTGGGATGCGCCTTATAGCTGAGTATGGTCGTGCCAAAAAAATAAAATTTTTCAAATTTCTCTGATAATTAAAATAATTGTCAAAGGACTCAAGTAATCTAATTACACTAAGTAGAAGACAAACATTGTTGGTCATTGACTTTTTCAAATTTGTGGTTCTGGAAAAGAACACTCATATTAGTCAGCTCTGCTCAGCTACTTGTCATTCTTGATCGCCTTTGCTTTCCATCTCGTACTCGCTATCAATTGCTTCTTCCAGATCTTCTGCTTCTTCTCCCTCGTTATCCCAAACTGTTTCATCTTCTGTACCATCAAGAACATTAGTGATACTGCAGCATTTGAAGGCTCTGCTGGGATTTCCTTCCATGCTCAATCAATCCACCGCAAAAACCACCTCTTTGCTGGGCGCCTCCTTCTTTCCATTTTTACTGATTTTGCCATAATTCTCTGTTGATGTCTTTTTGACAACTATGTTAACCTCTTCAACCACAGGCTTGACAATTCATGGACATTGTAATGAGACACTAGCATTCGCAATTAATTAACCTCCCTTAGAAATAAATTGCAGGGAAACAACTCAAGAGAAATTTCTTAGGGAAATGAAATGAATAAACGAATTACTATAACCTTGAGGTTGGTGATGACTTACTTGAAAACGCCTGAGATGCTTGTTGCTGTACATGATGACTGAAGATCCTTTTGGTGAAAAGCCATACTGAAACAATAGAGATTACACTTTTGCTCACCTTCATAATTTACATTTAAGATATCTCTAGATACAGTCGACCCCTGTTAACAAGCTCACAACAAAATTCAAATTCACAAGTTTGCACTTTGATTGACAACTATGTATGGCTGTTTAATGCGCACTGTACATGTAGGTGGCTGCTAAAGAGGGGTTCAGCTGTATCAACAAGTACAGTGTTACAGACTGTACAAGTGTATACATTATTGTTTATGTGTAGGTGCATGTACATGTAAAGGGAAAATTAAAATAAACATCTTTTTTTATCTAAACTATCATGTTGATGAAATTGTATAGTGTGACCTGCACTACAAAGAAAAGCTAACTAACATTACTTTTATAATAGTCAAGTTTGCTTTCCAAAATTCTCATCTTTAATGGTAGCATTGTTAGTTCCACCCAAGTCTTTGCACAATTTTGGCTATCTTCTCTACAGACCCAAGGGAACTTACGAAAGAAATTATCTATTGCAGGAACCCACTTGCTTTAGTTGTCACTTTGTTCTTAACCTAGAAGGTAACTGTGTTTGGCTCGGTGTGATATGACAAAGACCCCATTTATAATCAATCACTACTAGTGTGCAGTTCACAGCAAAATGGCATTTTCATCTTATGCAAAGCCAGCGAGAATAACTTTACATGTACATGTTCCACACCTTGTGAGTATCGCAGGATATGCTGGTAACTCCTTCCACTGTAAAATCAAATGGAGGAAGGTCAAACCTGTAAATAGCAATTTAGGAGAAAAGTAAACAACAGATTCATCTCAGACAGAGTAGTAAATCATACAGTGTATACCATAAATTGTCATACATGTACATGCCACCTGTGGATACACTTAAGTCATGTATATGTTGTAGGTTACAATGAAAAAAATGAACACACATAGGCCGAAAGTAGAAAAAATTATAATTATAATAAAATAAATAAGTAGTTGTCATAGGACATGTTTAAAACACAAAATGCCAGATGATGAAATTGCACTTTGAGTGGATAAGATTCAATAAGGGACATGGGCATCTTTAAGGGTTAGCCTTTATTATATTAGCCTTTAAATTACATCTTGTACATGTAAAACCTCACACTTGATTAGTGCTTAACACTATTGACAACTACACTTACTTCAACCCATCCCTTTTCCTGTAATGTAAGACTATTTTGCTTGTGAATTATTCATTTTTTAAGTTACCTAGCAGGTTTCTGCAAAGGGCCTATCTAGTGGAAGTCTGACACTTCAGTGGGATTTTAATTCATGATCTCTTGTGATGCTCATAAAATAACTTTTGCCAAAAGTTCTGAGTTCCACCTATTATATAGCACCGTTCACAGACCTTATACACTGACCATAACTTACCCTGCTTTCTTCATAAAGGGAACCAGAAATCCCCCAAGACAGGCATCAACATGAAGTCCAAGATTGTACTTCCTGGCAAGCTTAGCCATATCCTCAATTGGATCTATGACACCATGAGGAAACTGTGGTGCAGAACCACAAAGCTGAAAACACAAGAGAAGGATTTAGGAGAAACTAGTGAGAGGAATGAAATCCAACTGCTGGGTGCTATGTGCCAACAAGCTGAAACACAAAAATAGCATTTTGAAAAACCAACTGTGCTGCACTTACCAGGATGGTGTTCTTTGTAATGGCTCTTTTCATTGCCTGAACAAGACACAAAAAAGAATACAGCAAATTGAATTATTAATTTAACTACACTACAGGCCGTATTACAAGGGTGGGGCTCATTTGCCAGGGCAAGACACTTGGGCAAGACACTTTACCCTCTTAGTGTCTCTCTATCCAGGAGTATAGTAGCTAATGATTAACTGTTGAAACAGTCAAAAATACTACAGAGGGGAGATGGTGGTGGGGGGAGGGGGGTGTTAACAGAAGGGTTCAGAATCTCCAAGGATGACTACTGTATTAGTAAATTGATGGTGAAAAGTTTCAAACCTTGATATTACATCTCCTAGTTTCCTCGTCAACAGGAATGTGAACTAACTTCAAATTAAAATAGTGAGCTGCCTAGCAGGAAAATAATTACAAAAATACTTTATTAGAAGTAATAAGAAACAATGAGAAATAAAAATACTTACTAGAAAGTCCCATGTACAGTACATTATATGTATACATGTCAATAGGGAAATGGAAAAGAACAAACAAACAAGGAAACAAAGAAAAAAAAATACAGCAACAACAAAAACAAAAAACAAAGATTAATTAATGGCTCTTTTGGTCAATCATAAAATGGAATTTATGGCTTTTCCTTCAGCCGTTTGTTCACTTTCTTAGTTCTTGGTAGGTGAATCAATTCTTCTGACTTATTCATCACCTTACATAACATTATTTTATGTTAATCCAAGGCTTTTGCGATACAGAGACATATGTTTTTTTATATACTAAAGATTGTCCTTATTGTGTATCTTATAGTGTCAGCTGAGAAATGTGCCCATAACAAAAATATACCAGCACTTATTGGACTGGGCCGAAAATTACCTTATCAAAAGCTGCATGTATACTTATTGGTGCCACACTAAAAAAAGCAGAAAACAGTAACATTTATTATCTAACAGACAAAGGGACAATGGTACATCACTAGAAGGAAAACATGCAGTGCAAGTAGGTGGCTGTCCCACTGCAGCGCCTGTTGGAGAGCATTACCAGAGAGAAAGCAGTGTTTGTTTGGTTTTCACTCCCTCCCTCCCACTTACAATTAGGTAAGTATATCTTCCACACACTGTCTTTTCACAGTGCTGTGTTGACAGGGCCTGGAGATTGGCTGTGTCTGTGCTGCCATGGTGACCTCCTTGCTGCAGAAGAGTGCTCTGCTCTTCTGCTACTTTAGTAGGAGCCTACTCTCCAATGTTTCAATTGGCTTAGAGTAGGGTTGTCAGCACTATGCCCAACTCCAACCTAGAGGACCAGGGTGTCTGGTTTTATCTCGCCTCTCACCCTAGATCTGTCCAGCGTGGTTGAGCCTGCCTGAGGCACAAAAGCCCATGCTGGCATAGCTCCAGGGATCCTAGCTACCACACCAACAGCAAGGCACAGACACCATTAACACACAATAGGTACAGATCATAATTGCAGAATTCTTAAGAAAATTCATCTTTGTTTGCCTTATCATTGCTAAAATTCCCGACTACAGATATCAGGTAGTTCAAATCAGAGCACTCTTTAGGTGACATACACAAACACTTACATCTCTGGTTTTTCAATTCTGCGCTCATGAGCCCACTCACGATAAGCCTTACAAGCCAGTAATATACTCTCTGTACCTCCTGTGGTCATCTAGGAATGTCAAAAAGAAAAGAAGTCTACTACTGACTACTATTAGGTAGCATACAAATGTTGGAAGTGATCGCTCAGAGGCTTTTACATGTCAATTAAAGAGTACTGTCTCTATGTTTTTTGAGATAAAAGGACAAATTTTCTCGACTAAGCCACAACGTTCAAATGTTGCAAGTGTCTAGATCTATGCAGTAAGCCGAACAGTTTAAAAACTTTAACCCAGGCCAAATACATGTATGCAATGATGGCAATCAATTCCAAAAGAAAATATGAAAAATTGGCCTTGAAGTTCATGGTTCACATTCTCCAAAATACACAAAACTTGGTCATTTCATGGCTGTCTGGCCATGTAGCTCAGTTGGTAGAGCAACGGTGATTTAACCTAGAGGAAGTGGGTTAAAATCCTGCTAAGGTCAAAGATTTTTTCTTTGCCTTACAGTATGTGGTCCCCCATTTCCTTTCAAGAGCTAAAATGCAGAGGCAAATCACAGGGTTATTATTACGTCTGTCAATATAGGGTCTGCTCAATGAACAATAATTTATAAAGCAACATGTAAAATATAAAACAATTTTTTTTTTAAAAAAGGTTGCATTCACAGGACACCCAATTGCGTAAAAGCTGGCCATACTGTATAATCCAAAATACATACCGTTCCACAAGCATCCTTCCCTCCTCTGAACATATTAACACACATCTGGACAACTTCTGCCTCCATCTTCCGCACTGTTAAGAATTAAAATCAATAAATGCACTGTCCCTTTGATATCAAATAATTTTATGCAAGAGTTAATTTAAAACCTTTACATGTACCTTCAAGTTCCAAGTTTTATAACATTTTCAAACAGCTTAAATTTCTTCAAAAGTACATTTATTCTGCTGGGAGTTTGTGATGGTTCACACATGTGCAATCTGAATCAAGACTTGATTTTCATATACCATTGATTTCTTTTTGGCCACGTGTTCACATATCCTGTCAGTTGGACATTGAAATTAAACAAGAACTCTACTGAATAAAAAGAGCTTGGTCTGCCCACTTTGATCTAAGGTAGTTTGTTACTCAACTACTAAAGCGCATTAAACTACTGTACATTGTACATGAACTAACAAACATCTCTTCATTTTCTAAAGATATCAAGCTATAATTTTATTAAGAGAGGCTCTTGAAAAAATGTTTCAGTTATTTTTGCTCGGTGAGGTGACATTTTGGTTTCATGCGATCTACCCATGGATACTGTAGAAACAAGTTTAGTCAGAATTCTTAATATTTTCCTTGGCATGCCACAAATTAATTTAAAGAAATCTAAGGACTTAATTTTACATTCCAAAGTTGTGCAAACAAATCAAATTTACCATCAGGGAAGATGTCAACATGAAGAGGATTGGCCCATGTATATTTGGAATACACCTGCAAATTAAAAATCAAACCTCAGCACACACTCAGTCAAACTTACTGCATGTACAAGTACTCATTCAATTCCCAAACCCTTCAGTGTTCACAAAGACTAGCTAGTGCCCAAAATGACAAAGAAGACAATCCCAATCTTTGTTTAGACTGTAGTGCTTGCTAGTGTGATCTATGTATGTATCACCTCCTGCCTGGTTCTGCCTGGTTTTCTCATGGACACACTCTTAACCTTGTTATGTTTAATTTGAATTACCTGTTTCAGACATTTGAATTGTTGGCCTCACAAGGCTTTGTACTATTAACATTTAAAAGAGATTTTCACATAAAATCAAATTTGGTTGAAGAGATTTAAATTACTAATTCAAAATTGTTTCTTTGTTTTTTTTTTTTTCTCATTAGGTAGATTTCAGAGCTGATCTATACAAACATGAAATATTTTAAAATTTGATTCATCTTCAGTTTTTCACCACAAACAAATAATTACAATCTGTAGGAGAGCTCTGTTGAACCACTCCACCCGATCAAAAGTGAATCTTTTAGTTGAAACTGAAATTGTTTGGTCAAGCAATGATTCCTATTTTGACACGATATAGTCAAGCCAACATACTCACGACAAGGCCAAACAAGCCTGATATGCAACTGTAGCATACCAATAAAGTCTTTACTGCTCCCAAATTCAGCCAAGTGACCATGATATTGTAGCCATATCAGGGTCAGTGACTTGATATCACAGGAAATCAGGACAATAGCCACTGACAGCTTCTGATTGGCTAATTGTGCATTTGGGTAGGGTAAGATAAGGAAATTTGCTTGCTAAGACATGTGTTTGTTTCAAGACAGAGCACTGCATTTGCGTGAAAAAACACCTTTCCACCTGACCTTTGTAAGGACTTCAGTAAGTTCCTTTCCTCCATTATAAATTGCTCCAGAAACACGTCCTTCCTGCCAATTCACATCACCTGGGAATAAAGTAGAATTGAAAGCTTTTAGCAAGATCATATAACTGTATCCAAGCAAATTTGTTGTCTGCATGCAGATGTACATGTATTTAAGTAAGAAGCCGGCAAAAAGTGTAGTCCAGTGCAAAAACCCAAATCAACAGACAGTAGTTTCTTGCAGGTACTTCCTCATCCTTTATTGGTTTTTAAATTGTGTACACGTACAATGTACCACAAGCATTGTAGAGTTAATGTAACATCAACTAATAACAGTGAAATGTAAAATTAACTTACCCAATTTTAAATAATCATCAATTTCCTTCATTAGCTCTTTCTGTAGACGATAAATGAAATACGGTAGGTAAAAATTCACTTCCTGAATGTCTTGAATAAAAGAATCACAAAACAAACTAAAAAATTTACACACTACTTGTACTTTGCAAATACTGTTCATTCCCCACTGTAGAGGCAATCTGGGACAAGTGTGACTCATCTTGCAGTCCCTTGTGGGGTATTTTCTGGGGACAAAATGACTTCTTACTTTTGTTTTGTCCTTAGTAAAGGTCCCAGAAACAGCTGCCAGGTAAGTCTCATCCCAGATTTTTCTAATTTCTAAACTGGTGAATTTTAAATATTATTAATAATAAATCAATGCTTGAAATGCAGCATGGCACAAACCTCTTTCATTCCCTTTGCTGGTAGCTGAAAACAGGATAGAGCAGTACATGTAAGTAAACTTTGCACATGTGGAAACAAAGAAAAATAAAACTACCACAAAATCACATAGAACATAGCCAAAAAAAAACAAAAAAAAACTGAATCAACTCAAAAATTTCACCACCAGGTATATAAGCACATTCTTTAACATAATGATGACCAAGAAACATTAGTACACGCAAGTGTACATCAGTTTCTAGACAGAGAGGTTTAGGTTCAAATTTCGTGCTAATAATTTGGGCAAAATCCTTTATTCTTCCATGCATTCTAGTGAAGAGTACACAAATCCAAGAATTTCCAGGTGCCACAAAATGATAATTGAACTTTCACCACACAAAGAACCATCATTGTGCGCAGAACTCAATGTTTAGCTGTAACACAAGACTTATTTTAGTAAACAGTGTAACTGAATCTGTTGATTGTAACATTTACTTTTAGTCACTATAAGCTGAGTAACTTACTGTCATGTGAAAGGTTTCTCCAGGTCTTACTGGAAAGGCACTCCTTCCCATTTCATCCATTGTTTGCTGCATCTCTCTGGCTATCTGCCAGAAGATCGAAACAAGTGACGGTTTATTATTCTGGCTCTGGAAATACTGCACCAAATGTTTATAGAAAACATGTAGTTTTCAAGACTTTTTCCTGTTTTGATTCATGTAAATTTATACTCCCTACAATCATTTCTTCCACCTTGGCATGTGTCAACTGCAAGGGTAGAAAGGCAAGATGTGCCCATGCATGGCAGGAACAAGATGAAACCATGCAGTCCACAACAAGACTAAATATTAAAGTAAAAAGTGCAGTGTAAAGTGATTTTTTATAAACACAGATATCAAATCAATTGCAAGGTTCTCACCTTATCCTTTATGTAGGGCATCCTTCTTACCAGTTTAAAAACTCCTTTTTTTACTCTTTCCTTGAGACCTGAATAACATTTAGAAGAACATTTACCATTAAAATGGCTAACGCATCCCAGTTGGAAAAAAATGATGATTTCATTTATTAATAAGTGTTTAATGTTTAATCAAACAATTTAGACAATAAATTAAAACAAGTCAGATAGACATCACTGTTTAATGTACTTTGTACAGTCAGGCAATTTGATACCCTGTTGATATGATGAGTATGGACCACACTTTTGGGATAGTCAAAATGCCTGCATGATTTACTGCGCTTTTCTCTAGCATGCGGATTCTAAAATTCAAAGCTCAACTGACAAATGCGTTTTTTGCTACTGTCAATCAAATGTTTTCGGCGGCTCCTCACAGCTTCCAACTACCGCCGAGCATGCGGTAATCAAATTGTTGAGGACAGCTCAGACAATGAAACAGTGCTCGGCAGTAATCAGAAGCTGGGAGGAGTCGCCGAACATTTGATTGACGGGAGTGAAAAACGCGTTTGTTGGTTGAGCTTTGAATTTTAGAGTCTGCATGTTATTGAAAGGCGCAGTAAAGGAGTACAACTATACTGCACAATAATGCCTTCTACAGGACTGAACAATACCTCAAAACTGGCTTTCTAAGAAAGAAAAACATGAATGAAATACTATAAATTAATAAATTTAAATATAACCAAAATAAACAAAAATTGTTTGACCTGAGGAAGATTTTTATTAAAAAAGGGATGGATTACAAATACAAACATGATCATTTGACTAATGTTTCCAAAGTGGTGTCTGGAATATAATTCAGTTTCATCCAAAATAAAAAAAAAAATTAAATATTAATCAAGAGGCATGTTTTGATTAAGATTATCCAGAGTGACTTTTAGAACTTTTAAATGCTGTAGGTACCTAACTGAAAGTCACTTGGACATCCTTAATCCAACTTCCTCAACTTACAGTGGAATCCAGATTTTTTGAACCTCCAAGAGAAAAGAACATTGGTTTGAAAAAATCGGGTAGTTTGAAAAACTGGGGGCAAAATTATGGTGTACGTTTGGGTTAGAGAAAGGTTAAAAAAAAAATGAGCGTTTGAGCAATAGGGATTCCACTGTAATTACAGGTAATATACAATGTTCATACTTTGTTCACGGAAGAATGCCCATCCAATCACCCAGCGCAGAATTTCTGTTACAAGCCAGACATAAAAACAGTATGTCACTGTATTGACAACAATCTGTAAAAAGAGTAGATTACCAATAAGTTCAAACCTTCCAAAATCACATCCAAAACCCAACATAAGTTCCAGCAGTAAAGACCACTTGGACGACACAGACTTTGTGATTGATTAATTAACTCTACTTCATGTAGCTTGTAGTACCATAATAAGCCTTGGATTGGCAGATGTACATGTATGAAAGATTATGTTAAAAGAGAGTTTCACCGGACGTTTGGTGCCCATGGAAGGTTCAAAGTCTTGTTTCTCTACATTCCTGAACATAAATACAACAGGACATAAATACGTGCACTTTATTTAAGGTATCAGCCACCCTTCAGGATTGCCCACGTGCAGATCCCTCTAGCGCTTTTGTTTTTGATATAAACCCCTACAAACCACACATTTTCTGAAAGCTTAATAGTTCCAGATTATGGCTCATTCCTTTAAAAATCTCAAACTCATAAGAGTTAGCATAATTGAGATGTTTTTTGCGAAAGCATATGTCTGTGTTAATTCAACTCCAGTCCCGCTAAGAATGAGCGGAAGAGAACAATAAACATCACATTTGCTTCTTGACACTTTCTTCTAAAAAGCCGTGTCTCAGATTTTTGACAAGTGCATTTATTCTTTTTTAACAATAGGATAACGTTAGAGGAGAGAAATCATCAGCACTTCCTTTGAAAAAATGACGATTATGCAAAAATGGAAAAAGAAAACAAAACTCGCAGACACCGTTTTCAAGGAAAACTATCTGACAACAAGCTGGCCAAATTTCAGCCAAATCGGTCCAGGGGCTGCCAACTTAGAGTTAAAAAAGTATGCTTAAGGTTACAGTATACCTTCAGGGGTGTCTCGCGCGCAAGCGATGTAGCGCGTGCAGTTTAAGCTGTAGATACCTAAACCCCTATATCAAATTANTCAAGTCTCTAAGTATCTGCTTTCGAGGGACAAAATACGAAACTTTCCATGAACAATTTGCTTACTTGCATTATATATTGTGATGCCGGGCCTGGCTGTGATTAGAACTGTTTGCAAGCAGTAGGTAGATTCTATTCTTATCATGGATATCGTATCATTTGTCCTTGTACATTTTTCTTCGGAGAAGCCGTAGTTTTGCTTCGAGAAAGCTATACGTTTCTCTAGATACACTCTTACATGTATGTTTTTTGCAGCTCTCTGATCCCGCTTATGTTTCTCGAACTCAATGTATAGATTTATTCCTCCTTTTGGTAATTCTGGCACCACATGATTCAGATGTAGTTGTTTACATGCAAGTCTGTTGACTGTTTTGCATGTTGTAAATGCGTATTGTATATGCCATTGTTTGGCTTAGTTACTCCAAAATGACAGGACTTGTCAGGTAATTAAAACAATTAACGTGTAGTAAACTTCAACGTCCAATAACTATGCACTGAAATAATATTTTTTGGTGGAATTTTTTTTTTAAAAGAAAGCTCTTGAAAAGCTTCATCTGAACGTCTCAAAAACACAAATTTCAAAAATTCGCACTTTGAACCCTGGCTGATACCTTAAACATGGTAGAAAAATCAGTCATATCACAAGATTGAGATAAAAATAAAAATAAAACACTGATTTACATTCTTGTTGTGTGGGAGTACTAGGAAAACACTACGCCATTGACCTCATTTTGAAAGTTAATAAAAGATCTGACCAGTGGCTCTGACATGAGACGGAGGGCTATTCCATGAATGTACCCCATTGTAGCAGAAACTATGCTTTAAAAAATCAGTACGGGGCTTAGGCAGAGCTAATGTACACTTACTACTGTATCTGGCCAGTTCTACACAGTCATCATGCGTAAGCCACTGTCACTGTTGTCATATACATGTATGTCTGAATTTATGAAAACCATGTCAAATTTGGGGCAAAACTTATTCGCCTGCCTGTCCGCAATAGCCAGCAGGGAGGCCTTTGCTACGCTTGAAAAACCAAGGGAGCTTCCGTCAAGGAGGGTTGGGGTAGACAGCCCAGGTGCCCGGCTACCAGCTGATACCAAGCCAGGGCCTCACGGTCTGATCTAACCCCAGTGGAGTGGGGTGGGTCATACAGAAAGGCATTTCTGTCAGTAAAACCAGTCATTTTCTTTGCAGGACAGCCCCTGCAGCCTTAGGGACGGCAGACAGCCAAGGTGGGTGAGTGGGCTGTGCAGTGACAGACTGCTTGTGATTGATTGAGTGAAAAATTCCACAGTGTATTTTCTTGGAAAAGTGTCAGGGTGATTGGGTTGAAATTAGCACAGTTTTCATAAATCCAGACATATATACACGCAACAACAGACGCTAATCAAGACTTAAAGATGTCAATTACGTATAGTTTATCATGGGGTATGGGGAAGCAAGCACTCTCGTGTTTGACAATTAAATTTTGTGTTGTACTAGTTTCGTGCACAATTGATTTTTAAAAACAATACGTTTTTCCAATTCACTTCACGAGCGACTTTCATTATCATGACAATGCCTTATTATCACATTGTTGGCATGGACACAAAGCAACCTGAGCGTTGGGTAAGAATTATCTGAGTACAAAACGTCTGTGGGCACGAAACGTCCTGAGAGAGATAACGTCCCCAATTTTTTCCCTTAAGTGTCGAAAATAAAACGTGGAGTTATAAAAAACGATGATATAACTGCGTAATCCAATGAAATACCTTCAAAGTAAAATGATAATCATGAATGACCTTTGGCCACGAAGGTGTTATTTACGGGGAGAAAAACACGCCATATAGTGTCTACTCTTGAGAAACAAGCAGGTAACAACATCACAGGGTACATGTGTACCTATGGCAAATAAAACTCTCAAATGCAGTGAAAACCAAGAAGAAATCGAAACATATATGGTCGATTTGGGAATGAAAATCAACAGCGCGGATAAAGCTCAGGAATTTTTCGTCGTTAGCATTAGGAATTATTTAAGCTTATTAAAAATGAAGAAAAACTTTAGCTCACCTCCCAAGCCTCCATTCCTCGACACCATCGATGAATGTGACGTCTAGCTTCAGCTAAGTAATAAACAAACGTCCACTAAAGAAATACAAAAGCATCACGATTTAATTGACACACAGAACTCAAGTTAAGACTTCGAAATTAAAACTTGTTCTCGAACTATAGCCTTTGAATAAGGGTTAAGCTAAGGTGTTACGCAACGGAGAGCATAAACGATCGTGAAAAGAGTTTCGCAAAACGATAATGCATGGCTACTAAAGAGCTCAGCTTACACATATCTCGTTCCAGTGAAGATACTCTGGTAGATGGGGTTCTACGACGTCCAAAAAGCGCTCCCAATAAGTCTTTTCCAGCATGGTAAAGCCGAACTTTCAAAAGACCTCCCCACCAAGTTGGAGGTTTGCTCTCTTCCTCTCTCTTTTTCCTATCGTTGTGTGAATGTCACGTGATGACGTATTAACCGGATATACAGGTTTCGGTTATATTTCCTCTTTTATTTCCGGTTTCTGAACCTATTTGATTGTTGCTCCCGCTTCTAAAAACACTTATCATTCCTGCCGAGGGGAAGTTGAATCAAACTTATAATTTGCGTTTTATTTGAATATTTCTTGGGAAACCAAATACGTCAGGGTCGTGACGCACTTCCGGAAATTGAGTATTTGGTTGACCATGGGTAGGAGGAATTAATTTTGAAACAAGCAGAAACAAAAGACACAGTACAATCAGGCGACGTAAAATCAATAAGGATTAACTAAAGCAGCTACTAGAAATTCTTTTGTCGAATTCGCCATTTACCATTTCCGTCTCCGACCACTCAACAATCGCAGAATCGTTCGTGAACATTCGTGTGATATTCGTTGATATTCGGTACACCTTCGAAGTACCGGCGGGTGATCTATTATGGCCGAGTAACAAGCTCGAATGAGAAATGAAGCTGCCGATTGTGCATGAAGGAGTCGAGTAATGGCTCATGACAGATATGTAGAGCTTGAAAGGCATCCTCTCGGTGGATTTGGCTTTAGTGTTATCGGTGGAGTTGACACGCATTTGCCGCCTATGGTCTGTGCCTTGGTTCATAATGGCTCCGCACAACTGACTGGAAAGGTGAGTGTGTTCATTTTGATATTTCTGCCCCAGCTTCAGTTTACGTACATTAAATCGAGAATATCAAGACAGTATAGCACAGATAAAATAATATTCGTAGCTTACACCTGAGCTATGCCTTTTGAGATAAAATTCGCGTACTAGAAAATTCTCACTCGCGCCAAATGTCCGAGTACTAGATTTCAACGTGGCAACTCGTTTCGCCGCGATGTAGAGATTGAGTGTAATTTTGTTTCTACCTAGCGTTTGGTTATTAAGCTTAAGTACATCAGCCTTACCGTTAAGCCAATTTCTTTATTTCTTCGGTGTATTCTCCCACACGGGCTTTCTTATAGTTTGTTTTCTATGGACGCTGTTATTTGGTGCTCAAATGATATAGGGGAGCTTGTTTACAAGGACGTTTCGTGTGCAAGATAGAGATTTGCGTTCGTTCCTAACTTTGATAATCACTGCCATGTCGATTCTGCGATTTATTACAGTATTTAATATACGTTGCGATAGTAGCTTAAGATAATCAGTTTTAATTTGGGGAAATTTATGGAAGAATTTATTAAAATGTTGGACTTAAATTTGCTATTAAAATCGCTGCTCAGCAGATCAAAATTCAAAGTTTTTATTTATTTTCGCACGGAAAACATTCCTTAGCTTTCTTAAATATGCTATTTCCATACATGTGAACCTTGTCACATTATGTCACATTTGATATTTCAGTAAATAAATTGGTGTTTAAATATAATATACGGTAAGGAAATTAACGAATGTTTTCTGTGCTGGTTATCGAGGATGGGGGCTTATTGAACAGTATACCTTTCGTGTCTCGAAAATCGAAACTGCCTCAGGCAATTATTGTCCTGCAGTGAGACTTGACATTCCAGCCGCCCAGTCTGAATGGGTCAACAAAAAATGTAATAATTGCATTGGATCAAGCAAGCAAATTGCTTGCTAGAAATGGTGGGAAGTCGACATGTTTGTATAATTGAATTCGCCACGAAATGTGTACACATGTGGTGTCCATGCAGGCATTCTACCTCCATATGGCATGGATCAGAACTGTCCTTCGTTCTGTATCTAATTAAATAAGTTTGTTTGCCTTTACAGCTGGAAATTAAACCAGGATCTCTTGTTAAACACGTGCTATTTTTGACAACTTTAGTTGCAGAGTTGACCACCATCTAAAGGCAGAAAATATTTGCTCAAAGGTGATTTGTTTTCTGTCACATTTGGAGAAAATCAATCACTGCATGTAAAACTTGTAGAAAATGTAAATAATGGCTATTATGCAAAGCAAACAGCTGATACTTGTACAGTGATTGTGCAGTGATAATTTTTGAAAACTGATTAGGGAAATTGGAAAATTCTGAGAATGTTCATCATGAAACCACTTCAATTCAAGCTATTCGTCTACTTTTGTACTTTTAACTGACAGAGCTAATAAGAAATATTAAGGCTTCCTATAATAGACATATAATTTCCTTTAATTGTTTGGAAGATTCACTGATGTGATTATTGTTTGTCTCACAGAAATTTTTTTTACATGTTTGTGTGTTATTAGGCATTTAAATCTAATGAACAATTTTCAAATATATTTTTCCAATTGTCTGCGCATGTAAATAACATTATATAATATATCCGGTACATTCTGGGATATTATGTGGAGTACTGTGCCTATTTTAGAGAAATTGAACTGCTTGAAAATCAGCGTGGATGATTTCAATTTGAATTTTTGTAAATTATTTCAATGTTGTCAACATTGTGGAACATTTTTTTGGTCCCTGTTAGAGCAACCATAGGTTTGCATGTTCCAGAGTCAAGAAACGAGTGATTTGAACATTTATTTTTTAATATTGAAAAGGCATAATATATATTGAACCATTTACCAGAGGCAATGTAACATAGAGACATGTACCATTGTACCCTAAATATCTTCCATGTAGAATTTTTTCTGTGTGAATGAAGATTATTGTTATTGCTATTGTCAGGTTTTTGCTGGAGACGTCATTTTGGAGGTTAATGGTCAACCTATCACTCAGTTCACCACAAATCAAGGTGAGGGCCAAATGATTAAGAACTGGGCACCACAAGATTGCAAGAGGAAATCACTATCTGAGCTTAATGGATTTAATTAATTACTGTACCTTAGGAATTATTAATTAAATGTACATCATGTAAAAGTATGTGCAAGAACCTTAGAAGTCATTCCTAACAGAATCTTTTTATTGTTTTAGTTGTAGAAAGTATTCGCAATACACAGGATAACTTAAAACTCCGACTGAGGGATGGTGAGGAAATATGATTTATTTTCATCCTCTAGTTTGATATTATGTATTAAATATTGTTATATTATGTGCCATGAATTCATTCAAGACATGATCATCAATATCAGAATTTCAATGTATTTTTGAGCCAGAAAACAGGAGTGGTATTAATTAAATTGAGGATCCCAAATTCTTTTGCTCGTGGAATTCATAACATTGATATACATGAAAAGAGGCCACATTTTGGTTAATAAGTTAGGCCTTTTTATAATAATAATTTTAAAGGGTCCAAGTCAGCCACACATTTGTTCTTGTTTACATGCGGGAGTTTGGCGATTGTTAATATTATATTTGGAAGATGTGGAAATGAAGGAAATCACTGTGAAACTACTAAAGATGATTAAACATACTTTCAGGAACACGATTTACCGTAAAGCAGTAAGATTTTGCTTCACCGTGGATGCAATATCAATAATTTCAATGGCATTGAAAATGGCAGAAGCTGACTAGGGTCCTTTAGTAACTCCAGAAGGCAAGATTATCAGTGAGACTACTTGCAGTGACCCACTTTGTTGTGTTGTTCCACAAAATATGCATATACCCCTGACACCACTTTTTTTTATTTACGGGCCCTCCCACCCATGCCTCAGGAAATTCTCATTTTCGTTCTCCTCCCTCTTGGAATTTCTAGTAACCCTCCCTTAGATGGGTAGGGATATTTTCTAGAACCACGCATCAGGGTTCCATATTTGCAGTCGTCTGGTCATCTGTGACAACTAAAAAGTCGTAGGGATGACCAAAACAATGGAAACTCATTTGTTGGACGAGTTTAGTTTGACTCTACTCGAAAAAAAAATTCTTAAATTTTCTTATGAGTTTCCTGCATTCTGACTTCTTGTCATCCATTTGGAACTTGTAGAAAACAGAGAAAGATTTTAAACACTTTCTTTCGCAATAAACTCATCATTTTGGTCTGCCATCCTGGATGATGTGATGAATGAAATCATTGCAGGCTCAATTTTCATTTTGTCAACCGCTGATGCTCTGTGCTGTATTTGCATCCACCAAAAACACATGGTGCCATCACGATATGGAATTTAGTCATGTTAAAATTTCAGAAAAACAAGATACATGTAAATATGAGTAGGAAGAGCAAAAGCATTCCTTTCAGCCTTCATGGCAGTCGAAGAGGCCTTGGTTTTCACTTGTACCTGGTTTTTCTTTGTCTGCTGACAGCCGCAACTACAGACATGATGTACTGAGAGTCTGGTGACGTTAAAATAATGAAAAAGTAAACTTTCCATTTATGTGCTGTTTTGATGCAACCCTTAGGATTTCACAGTAACAATCGTTTCGGGTAGCGTGACATTACTATGATTCAGAAATAACGGAACCAAAAAAACCATTTGCCATGGACATCTTCAGCCTTGCTGATCAAAGTTTATTTGATAAAAGGTTTTTGTTTTCCTTTTCTACATGTAATTCTCAACAGGAATAGTAATTCCTTTGATTAGCACTCTGGTTATACATGCATATGAAACTAAAATGTTGTTTTGCCATTTTGTATCCATCCCAACTTAGTGCATTGAATGGTTACATTACTTCTATGATAATGTCACAAACCTCTATATGTTTTCGCAAATCTTTCACTATCCTAGTGGTGCTATTCTCTTAAGAACAAAATTAATTTGCTCGAAACGCCTGCACGATAACTTAGCCTTCAGTGTCCAGTTCTGGCCCTCTCTCTGTCACGCAATGCTACTGTGGTGTTGCTTGACAGAAAGAGGATCGGAATTGGACTATTTTTACCAGCGATAGCAGCTGTATTTCAGGTAACGTCAGTTCTCCCTTTTTCAGTGCAAATAACGCTACTGTGACTGTGTATCATCTAGAATCACCCCTAGCTTGATTCAAGAAATTTCGTCTGCTGTTTTATAACTATTGCGTGTTTGCCAGGGTTCAGATAAAGAATGCTTCTCCTTAGTGGCTTGTCTATTTCCTCTTCTATGAAGGGAGCAAAAAGTTTATATTCAGCCGAAACTTTCCCACACTAGTTACATATAAAACTTATAAATTTGTGATGCAAGAAACTTCACAAATATTGCCGCAGACCCCGTGGCTCTTGATGAAACCGCCAATCAATTTCATCAGTCTTTGAGGTGACTCTCTCACTGATGTAGGATATAATTTTGATCAAGTAACGATCTCTACCTTCAGTACTTCTTGCTCGTAAGTTGTATTAATCGATGACATTGTATTTTAGTTTTGTAACGACAAGTGGATAGACAACAGTGTCGGCAAAAACAACTTATTTAATGCACTAAGCAGCAACGACGAAAACTACAACATGGCCGACCACATGAGCCTACTGTCACATGATCCGCAAGGCGGGAACTGGACTTGTACTTCGTGTACGCATACTTGTTACAAGTTTGATGGAATAAGAACGAACTATTCCGTGACTGGACTTGACTATTTGATAATTAGATTATTTCTTGTTTTTCTGTGAATTAAAAATTTATATTTGGAGCAAAACAAAATCGTTCCTCTTTGATTTTTCATGAGTGTTCAACCGGTGTTTACGAACCGCAAGATTGCCCAGGAGTTCCCGACAAGCGAACCTAAGCCTCAGCAGACCACTGTTTTGACCCAAAAATCCAAATTTGAAGAAAATTGCCGACCCGAAGGTATACTGTAACCTTAACTTTCCGAAATTTTCGTTCTGAGAAAAAAAGAAAAATATATTTTTTGCGGCATCTTACCCGCAATAGGATTATAACTCCTAAACGTCCGTGTTGATGCTTACCAGAGCGGGATCATCTTGCAATAACAATAGCCGTTTGACAGGTGATTTGCAGCAGGCCAAATCTTTACGTGGGACGTGGCCAGAATACACTGTATCTTCTGGTCGGATATCAGAGGTTAGTTAATTCAAAATTCTTGTTTCAAGTATAAATAAAACAGTTGCGACAGACCTGCACGACTCCCGCCGTACGCAATGTGTATTATTTGCCTTTAGTGTTTGCCATGTACTTATGTATTTTTTAGGCTCATTTATATCGCAAGATTTGTTCAAGTCTCTAAGTATCTGCTTTCGAGGGACAAAATACGAAACTTTCCATGAACAATTTGCTTACTTGCATTATATATTGTGATGCCGGGCCTGGCTGTGATTAGAACTGTTTGCAAGCAGTAGGTAGATTCTATTCTTATCATGGATATCGTATCATTTGTCCTTGTACATTTTTCTTCGGAGAAGCCGTAGTTTTGCTTCGAGAAAGCTATACGTTTCTCTAGATACACTCTTACATGTATGTTTTTTGCAGCTCTCTGATCCCGCTTATGTTTCTCGAACTCAATGTATAGATTTATTCCTCCTTTTGGTAATTCTGGCACCACATGATTCAGATGTAGTTGTTTACATGCAAGTCTGTTGACTGTTTTGCATGTTGTAAATGCGTATTGTATATGCCATTGTTTGGCTTAGTTACTCCAAAATGACAGGACTTGTCAGGTAATTAAAACAATTAACGTGTAGTAAACTTCAACGTCCAATAACTATGCACTGAAATAATATTTTTTGGTGGAATTTTTTTTTTAAAAGAAAGCTCTTGAAAAGCTTCATCTGAACGTCTCAAAAACACAAATTTCAAAAATTCGCACTTTGAACCCTGGCTGATACCTTAAACATGGTAGAAAAATCAGTCATATCACAAGATTGAGATAAAAATAAAAATAAAACACTGATTTACATTCTTGTTGTGTGGGAGTACTAGGAAAACACTACGCCATTGACCTCATTTTGAAAGTTAATAAAAGATCTGACCAGTGGCTCTGACATGAGACGGAGGGCTATTCCATGAATGTACCCCATTGTAGCAGAAACTATGCTTTAAAAAATCAGTACGGGGCTTAGGCAGAGCTAATGTACACTTACTACTGTATCTGGCCGGTTCTACACAGTCATCATGCGTAAGCCACTGTCACTGTTGTCATATACATGTATGTCTGAATTTATGAAAACCATGTCAAATTTGGGGCAAAACTTATTCGCCTGCCTGTCCGCAATAGCCAGCAGGGAGGCCTTTGCTACGCTTGAAAAACCAAGGGAGCTTCCGTCAAGGAGGGTTGGGGTAGACAGCCCAGGTGCCCGGCTACCAGCTGATACCAAGCCAGGGCCTCACGGTCTGATCTAACCCCAGTGGAGTGGGGTGGGTCATACAGAAAGGCATTTCTGTCAGTAAAACCAGTCATTTTCTTTGCAGGACAGCCCCTGCAGCCTTAGGGACGGCAGACAGCCAAGGTGGGTGAGTGGGCTGTGCAGTGACAGACTGCTTGTGATTGATTGAGTGAAAAATTCCACAGTGTATTTTCTTGGAAAAGTGTCAGGGTGATTGGGTTGAAATTAGCACAGTTTTCATAAATCCAGACATATATACACGCAACAACAGACGCTAATCAAGACTTAAAGATGTCAATTACGTATAGTTTATCATGGGGTATGGGGAAGCAAGCACTCTCGTGTTTGACAATTAAATTTTGTGTTGTACTAGTTTCGTGCACAATTGATTTTTAAAAACAATACGTTTTTCCAATTCACTTCACGAGCGACTTTCATTATCATGACAATGCCTTATTATCACATTGTTGGCATGGACACAAAGCAACCTGAGCGTTGGGTAAGAATTATCTGAGTACAAAACGTCTGTGGGCACGAAACGTCCTGAGAGAGATAACGTCCCCAATTTTTTCCCTTAAGTGTCGAAAATAAAACGTGGAGTTATAAAAAACGATGATATAACTGCGTAATCCAATGAAATACCTTCAAAGTAAAATGATAATCATGAATGACCTTTGGCCACGAAGGTGTTATTTACGGGGAGAAAAACACGCCATATAGTGTCTACTCTTGAGAAACAAGCAGGTAACAACATCACAGGGTACATGTGTACCTATGGCAAATAAAACTCTCAAATGCAGTGAAAACCAAGAAGAAATCGAAACATATATGGTCGATTTGGGAATGAAAATCAACAGCGCGGATAAAGCTCAGGAATTTTTCGTCGTTAGCATTAGGAATTATTTAAGCTTATTAAAAATGAAGAAAAACTTTAGCTCACCTCCCAAGCCTCCATTCCTCGACACCATCGATGAATGTGACGTCTAGCTTCAGCTAAGTAATAAACAAACGTCCACTAAAGAAATACAAAAGCATCACGATTTAATTGACACACAGAACTCAAGTTAAGACTTCGAAATTAAAACTTGTTCTCGAACTATAGCCTTTGAATAAGGGTTAAGCTAAGGTGTTACGCAACGGAGAGCATAAACGATCGTGAAAAGAGTTTCGCAAAACGATAATGCATGGCTACTAAAGAGCTCAGCTTACACATATCTCGTTCCAGTGAAGATACTCTGGTAGATGGGGTTCTACGACGTCCAAAAAGCGCTCCCAATAAGTCTTTTCCAGCATGGTAAAGCCGAACTTTCAAAAGACCTCCCCACCAAGTTGGAGGTTTGCTCTCTTCCTCTCTCTTTTTCCTATCGTTGTGTGAATGTCACGTGATGACGTATTAACCGGATATACAGGTTTCGGTTATATTTCCTCTTTTATTTCCGGTTTCTGAACCTATTTGATTGTTGCTCCCGCTTCTAAAAACACTTATCATTCCTGCCGAGGGGAAGTTGAATCAAACTTATAATTTGCGTTTTATTTGAATATTTCTTGGGAAACCAAATACGTCAGGGTCGTGACGCACTTCCGGAAATTGAGTATTTGGTTGACCATGGGTAGGAGGAATTAATTTTGAAACAAGCAGAAACAAAAGACACAGTACAATCAGGCGACGTAAAATCAATAAGGATTAACTAAAGCAGCTACTAGAAATTCTTTTGTCGAATTCGCCATTTACCATTTCCGTCTCCGACCACTCAACAATCGCAGAATCGTTCGTGAACATTCGTGTGATATTCGTTGATATTCGGTACACCTTCGAAGTACCGGCGGGTGATCTATTATGGCCGAGTAACAAGCTCGAATGAGAAATGAAGCTGCCGATTGTGCATGAAGGAGTCGAGTAATGGCTCATGACAGATATGTAGAGCTTGAAAGGCATCCTCTCGGTGGATTTGGCTTTAGTGTTATCGGTGGAGTTGACACGCATTTGCCGCCTATGGTCTGTGCCTTGGTTCATAATGGCTCCGCACAACTGACTGGAAAGGTGAGTGTGTTCATTTTGATATTTCTGCCCCAGCTTCAGTTTACGTACATTAAATCGAGAATATCAAGACAGTATAGCACAGATAAAATAATATTCGTAGCTTACACCTGAGCTATGCCTTTTGAGATAAAATTCGCGTACTAGAAAATTCTCACTCGCGCCAAATGTCCGAGTACTAGATTTCAACGTGGCAACTCGTTTCGCCGCGATGTAGAGATTGAGTGTAATTTTGTTTCTACCTAGCGTTTGGTTATTAAGCTTAAGTACATCAGCCTTACCGTTAAGCCAATTTCTTTATTTCTTCGGTGTATTCTCCCACACGGGCTTTCTTATAGTTTGTTTTCTATGGACGCTGTTATTTGGTGCTCAAATGATATAGGGGAGCTTGTTTACAAGGACGTTTCGTGTGCAAGATAGAGATTTGCGTTCGTTCCTAACTTTGATAATCACTGCCATGTCGATTCTGCGATTTATTACAGTATTTAATATACGTTGCGATAGTAGCTTAAGATAATCAGTTTTAATTTGGGGAAATTTATGGAAGAATTTATTAAAATGTTGGACTTAAATTTGCTATTAAAATCGCTGCTCAGCAGATCAAAATTCAAAGTTTTTATTTATTTTCGCACGGAAAACATTCCTTAGCTTTCTTAAATATGCTATTTCCATACATGTGAACCTTGTCACATTATGTCACATTTGATATTTCAGTAAATAAATTGGTGTTTAAATATAATATACGGTAAGGAAATTAACGAATGTTTTCTGTGCTGGTTATCGAGGATGGGGGCTTATTGAACAGTATACCTTTCGTGTCTCGAAAATCGAAACTGCCTCAGGCAATTATTGTCCTGCAGTGAGACTTGACATTCCAGCCGCCCAGTCTGAATGGGTCAACAAAAAATGTAATAATTGCATTGGATCAAGCAAGCAAATTGCTTGCTAGAAATGGTGGGAAGTCGACATGTTTGTATAATTGAATTCGCCACGAAATGTGTACACATGTGGTGTCCATGCAGGCATTCTACCTCCATATGGCATGGATCAGAACTGTCCTTCGTTCTGTATCTAATTAAATAAGTTTGTTTGCCTTTACAGCTGGAAATTAAACCAGGATCTCTTGTTAAACACGTGCTATTTTTGACAACTTTAGTTGCAGAGTTGACCACCATCTAAAGGCAGAAAATATTTGCTCAAAGGTGATTTGTTTTCTGTCACATTTGGAGAAAATCAATCACTGCATGTAAAACTTGTAGAAAATGTAAATAATGGCTATTATGCAAAGCAAACAGCTGATACTTGTACAGTGATTGTGCAGTGATAATTTTTGAAAACTGATTAGGGAAATTGGAAAATTCTGAGAATGTTCATCATGAAACCACTTCAATTCAAGCTATTCGTCTACTTTTGTACTTTTAACTGACAGAGCTAATAAGAAATATTAAGGCTTCCTATAATAGACATATAATTTCCTTTAATTGTTTGGAAGATTCACTGATGTGATTATTGTTTGTCTCACAGAAATTTTTTTTACATGTTTGTGTGTTATTAGGCATTTAAATCTAATGAACAATTTTCAAATATATTTTTCCAATTGTCTGCGCATGTAAATAACATTATATAATATATCCGGTACATTCTGGGATATTATGTGGAGTACTGTGCCTATTTTAGAGAAATTGAACTGCTTGAAAATCAGCGTGGATGATTTCAATTTGAATTTTTGTAAATTATTTCAATGTTGTCAACATTGTGGAACATTTTTTTGGTCCCTGTTAGAGCAACCATAGGTTTGCATGTTCCAGAGTCAAGAAACGAGTGATTTGAACATTTATTTTTTAATATTGAAAAGGCATAATATATATTGAACCATTTACCAGAGGCAATGTAACATAGAGACATGTACCATTGTACCCTAAATATCTTCCATGTAGAATTTTTTCTGTGTGAATGAAGATTATTGTTATTGCTATTGTCAGGTTTTTGCTGGAGACGTCATTTTGGAGGTTAATGGTCAACCTATCACTCAGTTCACCACAAATCAAGGTGAGGGCCAAATGATTAAGAACTGGGCACCACAAGATTGCAAGAGGAAATCACTATCTGAGCTTAATGGATTTAATTAATTACTGTACCTTAGGAATTATTAATTAAATGTACATCATGTAAAAGTATGTGCAAGAACCTTAGAAGTCATTCCTAACAGAATCTTTTTATTGTTTTAGTTGTAGAAAGTATTCGCAATACACAGGATAACTTAAAACTCCGACTGAGGGATGGTGAGGAAATATGATTTATTTTCATCCTCTAGTTTGATATTATGTATTAAATATTGTTATATTATGTGCCATGAATTCATTCAAGACATGATCATCAATATCAGAATTTCAATGTATTTTTGAGCCAGAAAACAGGAGTGGTATTAATTAAATTGAGGATCCCAAATTCTTTTGCTCGTGGAATTCATAACATTGATATACATGAAAAGAGGCCACATTTTGGTTAATAAGTTAGGCCTTTTTATAATAATAATTTTAAAGGGTCCAAGTCAGCCACACATTTGTTCTTGTTTACATGCGGGAGTTTGGCGATTGTTAATATTATATTTGGAAGATGTGGAAATGAAGGAAATCACTGTGAAACTACTAAAGATGATTAAACATACTTTCAGGAACACGATTTACCGTAAAGCAGTAAGATTTTGCTTCACCGTGGATGCAATATCAATAATTTCAATGGCATTGAAAATGGCAGAAGCTGACTAGGGTCCTTTAGTAACTCCAGAAGGCAAGATTATCAGTGAGACTACTTGCAGTGACCCACTTTGTTGTGTTGTTCCACAAAATATGCATATACCCCTGACACCACTTTTTTTTATTTACGGGCCCTCCCACCCATGCCTCAGGAAATTCTCATTTTCGTTCTCCTCCCTCTTGGAATTTCTAGTAACCCTCCCTTAGATGGGTAGGGATATTTTCTAGAACCACGCATCAGGGTTCCATATTTGCAGTCGTCTGGTCATCTGTGACAACTAAAAAGTCGTAGGGATGACCAAAACAATGGAAACTCATTTGTTGGACGAGTTTAGTTTGACTCTACTCGAAAAAAAAATTCTTAAATTTTCTTATGAGTTTCCTGCATTCTGACTTCTTGTCATCCATTTGGAACTTGTAGAAAACAGAGAAAGATTTGAAACACTTTCTTTCGCAATAAACTCATCATTTTGGTCTGCCATCCTGGATGATGTGATGAATGAAATCATTGCAGGCTCAATTTTCATTTTGTCAACCGCTGATGCTCTGTGCTGTATTTGCATCCACCAAAAACACATGGTGCCATCACGATATGGAATTTAGTCATGTTAAAATTTCAGAAAAACAAGATACATGTAAATATGAGTAGGAAGAGCAAAAGCATTCCTTTCAGCCTTCATGGCAGTCGAAGAGGCCTTGGTTTTCACTTGTACCTGGTTTTTCTTTGTCTGCTGACAGCCGCAACTACAGACATGATGTACTGAGAGTCTGGTGACGTTAAAATAATGAAAAAGTAAACTTTCCATTTATGTGCTGTTTTGATGCAACCCTTAGGATTTCACAGTAACAATCGTTTCGGGTAGCGTGACATTACTATGATTCAGAAATAACGGAACCAAAAAAACCATTTGCCATGGACATCTTCAGCCTTGCTGATCAAAGTTTATTTGATAAAAGGTTTTTGTTTTCCTTTTCTACATGTAATTCTCAACAGGAATAGTAATTCCTTTGATTAGCACTCTGGTTATACATGCATATGAAACTAAAATGTTGTTTTGCCATTTTGTATCCATCCCAACTTAGTGCATTGAATGGTTACATTACTTCTATGATAATGTCACAAACCTCTATATGTTTTCGCAAATCTTTCACTATCCTAGTGGTGCTATTCTCTTAAGAACAAAATTAATTTGCTCGAAACGCCTGCACGATAACTTAGCCTTCAGTGTCCAGTTCTGGCCCTCTCTCTGTCACGCAATGCTACTGTGGTGTTGCTTGACAGAAAGAGGATCGGAATTGGACTATTTTTACCAGCGATAGCAGCTGTATTTCAGGTAACGTCAGTTCTCCCTTTTTCAGTGCAAATAACGCTACTGTGACTGTGTATCATCTAGAATCACCCCTAGCTTGATTCAAGAAATTTCGTCTGCTGTTTTATAACTATTGCGTGTTTGCCAGGGTTCAGATAAAGAATGCTTCTCCTTAGTGGCTTGTCTATTTCCTCTTCTATGAAGGGAGCAAAAAGTTTATATTCAGCCGAAACTTTCCCACACTAGTTACATATAAAACTTATAAATTTGTGATGCAAGAAACTTCACAAATATTGCCGCAGACCCCGTGGCTCTTGATGAAACCGCCAATCAATTTCATCAGTCTTTGAGGTGACTCTCTCACTGATGTAGGATATAATTTTGATCAAGTAACGATCTCTACCTTCAGTACTTCTTGCTCGTAAGTTGTATTAATCGATGACATTGTATTTTAGTTTTGTAACGACAAGTGGATAGACAACAGTGTCGGCAAAAACAACTTATTTAATGCACTAAGCAGCAACGACGAAAACTACAACATGGCCGACCACATGAGCCTACTGTCACATGATCCGCAAGGCGGGAACTGGACTTGTACTTCGTGTACGCATACTTGTTACAAGTTTGATGGAATAAGAACGAACTATTCCGTGACTGGACTTGACTATTTGATAATTAGATTATTTCTTGTTTTTCTGTGAATTAAAAATTTATATTTGGAGCAAAACAAAATCGTTCCTCTTTGATTTTTCATGAGTGTTCAACCGGTGTTTACGAACCGCAAGATTGCCCAGGAGTTCCCGACAAGCGAACCTAAGCCTCAGCTCATTGATCAACAATGCGTTGTGTATAACTTCAAGTGTGACCAGTGCGATGC